ATAGTATAGCTTTTATTTTGGAAAGAGCCATTTCTCTGTAATAAACTCTCTTTTCCAAAGATGAGTGATTCCTCGATCAGATAGATTTATTTTTGTATTACTTTGTTGTTTCAGCAAAATTAAATTTAAAAACTGTACTTTTGAGTTAAAATATCTATTTATAATTTTAATAAATGACATTAAAAAAGCATGAACATTTTTTTGTATCAAAAAAATATCAAACCATGACACCAAAGTATTGAACCGAACTGTGAATTTTGTGTATCGTTGCACCCCTAGTATTTAGGTGCAAGTATCTTTTCTACTGACACTGATAATGAATGAGCTCCAGGTTTTTCTCATATACTAAACACCAACTTTTTACTACATCATTTATGACTGAGCACATTCCCAGGTTACCAATAAATCATCAGTGATGAATGTAGAATCCAGAAGATTCTCCTGCTTGTTTTTCACCCGAGCAGGATGCTGGTGACAGTGCAGAAGAAGCTCTGAGAGATGATGAATTTGCTGGTCATACAGTCATTGATTGAGGCTGTTTGAAGCCTTGTCTTTATTGATCCACGCAGCCTGAGAGTGACACCACATATTTGTGGTCAGTCTTGTGGTAGCTTTGGAGCCACATTCACTATCCATAAATTGAGTTTATTACCAGAATCAGTAATAAGGTGAAGAATCAGTTGCTTCTTGTTTGTACTGGTATTCTGATACAGCAAAGCGATGCAGCAGTTGTAAAACAGTTGAACCCTTAATGTGGTGGAATTGGTTTAATGTCATCACCACAATCTATGCCACCTACTCTGTAAGTGCTTTGATTATAAAGAAATTTAGTCTATATAGTGAACAAACTAGGATTAGATGAATTAAAATGGTTGTTAAACACTGAGTGTATGTTAGCACCCTGTAGTTGTTTGTGTTTTAACAAGTCAGCTGAAGAAAAACTTCATGCCTAAAGATATTCTTGCCTAAAACCATTTTTCCTAAAATTTGGCATCAACAGCAATTCCACAATTCACCGTGAACAGTCCAAGTTCAAGTCATGTTTAAAATTTCACATCTTATGTTTACTTTTGTTACATATGCAGTAAAGATGGCAGGATACATTAGAAAGCAGTGACTTTTATTGAATAGGATTATCCTTCAAATGAGAATGTCCGCATTATTTACAATCGTTGCTGCATATGACTCACAGTGCAGTGATGTGATGAGAAAGGTGTATAGACATATCAGGTACTCACACTAGTGAAGGAATGGTACAAAGTAAATAGGAACTGAGCCAAATCGCTGCAGTGCTTCCTCTGATTACATTTTAAATTGCAGACATAAATTTCATCTATTTTGGCTCTCGGTGGAGGCGGACGCATCTTTCCCCCTCTCCCTCCCTTGGCTTCCCTGCTGCTTCTATGTGTTTGTCTAGTCTCGTCTAACTCTAACCCTCAAAGAGTTTCTCAGTCTTGTCCTCTAAAGCCTAAAGTAATATGGATTTGATCCAATTGTCCTGTAGAGACGTTTGCTGCCGGATACTCGATGGTCGGTTGCATCGTGTGTCTGACGACACTCGATGGAGGACATTGAACGACATCTACCTATGTATTAGGAACCACGATAACAGAGTTCGGGCTGATTGGAGCTGGCTTGAACCTGTCTTATCGAAGAACAAGAAGCTGCTACAGCTGTTCAAAATCCCATAAGGCTGGGCGACTTGATAGACGATTGGCAGGGCTGTGAGTACTCAGACTGTGTTTTGAACGCAGTATGGATAAGATCTCGGAGAAACTCATGGCTCTGCAATATGGATAACATCTTGGAGAAGAACAATGGGAACTGAGATAATTGGTGACCAGTGATGGACATTATACCAACTGCAAAAATTGGATGCAGTTGTTCGCACTAAACCCAAACATTCACCATCTTCACTCATGCGGCTATCCCGCTGGCGCCAGCTGAATCAAACCTGTATAAAACATTTCAAATTACTTGTGACTTGTGATTATTATGCTATTCCAAAGTATTTAAAAAGAAGTATAAGAGGCAAAAGTGTAGCCTTTAGCTTTAATAAAAATTGACTTCAGTTTACCTTTAGGTCCTCATCAGCTTTTGAGTTTCTGGCATTACCATCAACATCAACATTGGCTTTCTGCATCCATAACTGCAGGTTGTGAAAATGTTTTTTGACATTCTCACCACTACAAGGACTCCCAAAAACAATTGCAGCACTTTGAACCATGTCACTGAGGTCTTTTAAGGAAGTTGCAGTAGTGAAGACTCCAACAGTGTGCATTGCAAGATGGTAGTTCTTTGGTGCACTGCAGTTGAAGAAGAAATTATCTTTAAGTGTTTCCAAAACAGTAATAAACAGTTTTCCCAAATTGAAAAATGAAATGCCATGTCACATGTCACATTAAAAAACAAACAAACAAGTGAATACTGTATTAAAACGACTACACTTACTACTTTTTACAGATCTCCTTGGCATTCTTCATAACATAACTAAGGCATCTGTGAAGAATTGGAACCTCGAAGTCTTCCTTGTTTCCTTTCCCCGAAGTGATGTTATAATTATGATTTATTGTGTTCGACAGATTTTTTTTTGCTAAAGCTAAACAGATAGCTTGCATTAGGACCATAGATCCATCACACGTAAGCATTACAGCTGAATGCATGGCTTTGCGCCCAAAGTCCCTTGCAACATCAGTCAGAAATGCTTCCAGAAAATATGTGACCGAGGCAGTGGTATGGTCACATGTTAAATATGTAGCCACTGGTAGGGGAGAGCATGTTTTCCATGGATTCCTTACTACAAGTTCGTAAATACAGAAAGGAGGCAAACACTTTCTTTTTTTCATGATACTTCCTGTAGCATCCAAATAAACTAAGTCCTCCCGACAGCGGCTCTGGAAAATTTCAATGCTCTTGGAAGACCATAAAAAAGCACCTTTTGGATGTAACATCACTTTCTGCAATACATCCTCTGGGTTGTTCTTCTTGTTTGCCACCATTAACTGGAGACTCATAATCTCATTATGATGAAGACGACTTTTCTTTCGGATTTCCAATGCTATGTTTCTCAACACTTGAGGAGTTGGAACTTCATCTCTACACCCTGATTGCACAACATCATCATCCATTTTGCTCATTTTTTCCAGATACATGGCTCTGGGTAATTGTTTTTCCAATTCATGGTCAATTTTATCTCTCTTATGAGCTCTTACTGGTCTTCTTTTCAGTTCATAGTGGTTGTGCACACACTCGAGATCTTGAAAATTGACTTTCGCCTTTAGATCGTCTTCTTTATCTACAGTGACATTGACAGTGACTGGACAATCCTCGAAACTGCAGTAACCCAGACACCAGAAGAAAGGGTCCTTTCTTACTGAGTCCAAAGCCTGGACTCTGTGCCCTTTGAAAGCAAAGGAACAATATGGAAACACTGTCCGTAGTCTGTCTGAAATCAGATTTGTCCACTGTAGTCCCTTGTATCTTCTTTGGGATCTCTTATTTTTTAGATTAGCCCATTCTTTCCTTTTCAAGAAAAAAAAAGTTGGTTCAAGTGGAACCCTGATTCTTATGAATCCATCATCAGATGAGTTGCTGTTAGGCTACAAAAGAGAAAAAATTCATTTAGTGAGAAAAAGTTTTGTTCCACGTTACATAACTACTGTAATATCTGTAAATATACTTGAAATACTCGTGTATTTTAAGTATATTAACAGCCAGTGTTTTTAATTTTGGAATATATAGCAAAAATTCATGTCGAGAAGTGTAATTAAATAGAAATTGCATTCTATGTTACAACATTTGATAAAATTCTTTATTTAATTGTATATTGTGTTTTTACAAATATTTTTATGTAATATAACGTGGTCATTTAAAAAATGATACTAGCACCAATCATAACTTATTTGAAAGCATTTTTAATGACTGACCTGCTCAGGAGACAGCTGTCCGTCCTCCTGCAAGGAGATGTCCGGTGTCAGGAAAGCGGCAGCTGATAGTTTTTCTGGTTGCTATTACATGAGTTGAGGGGTGTAACTTTAGTGTAATTACATGTAAATGTTAAAGAGAAATTATGATAGTACAGACAGACTGACCTGCTCAGGAGACGGAGATGTCCGGTGTCAGAGAAGTGGCAGCTGATAGTTCTTCCTGCTGAAAATGACATTACCCGTAACAATATTCAGTTTAGGGATAATTTCAACAGTAATAGATTGACTAAAATGTGGTATATCAACATATTTAATAGCAAACACATAGAATTTTATTTATGGAACCTGCTCTGGTGGCTTTTGTCCGTTATCTGAATCCCCTTTGACTGGTATAGGCAAGTTCTGTAGAGAACAGCATACATTTTTAATAAATTTCATTTTAACGACATAATTTAAAAAAAAAAAATTTAAGTGAAAAGACGAAATGCAAATTTAAATTTGCAGTTATTATCAAAGGAACACACATAATTGGTTGATAAGAAAGATTAAGACTTAGACAAGAGACGTTCAAAAGAGAGGAAAATACAGAGGGGATGAGGGACGGTGAGACAAGACAGTAAATTCCATTGGATTACCTACTGGAAAAAAAAACAGAAAAGAAAACAAGCAAAAATATAACACAGACCACAGCCACAACCTAGATAAGTATAAGTGACAGTAAATAATAAATATTGGTGTCAGCACAGCCCCTGCCGAGAAACCTTATCAACTACATGTATTTAAAATTGAGATGTGGGCACCGGCAACTTAGGAGAGGTAGAATACACAGACCATCCCTTGGACGCCATTCAGCATGCCCAGCACAAGTGATGTTGCTGTATAGGTTGTGGAATAAAATTGAGGTACAGGTGGTCAGAAGGGGACACAGGAGGAATGCCTCACCCCCACCTCAGTGAAACAACTGTACCCCAAAGCCCTGCATCTGTGGCGATGTGATGGAGTGGGGATGAGGAGGAGAGGGAAGTGAAGGCAAAGTACTCTCTCGTGGGGTCAGGTCCCCCGCAGACCCCAGTAGGCACCACAGGAAGCCACAAAGGCCCATCTGGATAGGGGCCTACATTAGCACCACCACCAAGCCCCACAGAGCCTGGGGTAGCGGGCGCACATCCTAACCTACCACAGAGGAAAATACATCCACCCAAACATTCAATAATCTCTCTGACTACAAAAGACACCACGGTTGAGTTTATTCTCTACCTCTGTACTAATTTTAAAGTTAACTATTGTCTTTTTTTGTGTGTTTTAAATGTGGTGAATACTTGACAAACAAAGTAAAAAGAAAAAAAACAAAAAAGAAAATTATAAATTAAAGGGCCTTGGAGATGTCATTCAAACTAATACCATTGCACATCAAAACATATATGTGGATAACAGAAAGAAAAAAAAAAACAGTTCAGAATAATTCTAAAGTGAAATTATCTTGTGGAAGAGTAGGTCGTATATGGGCAATTTAAAAAGGCCTTTATTTTGGAAAGCAAAATCAGAATGACTTGAAATTGACATGGTAACAACGCAAGGTTGGATTCTGTTGATCTAAAGTGAAATTATCCTGTGGAAACAGCAATTTTCATTTTTGTGGGGTTGTATACTGTCAATACAGAGTGAAATTATCTTGTGGAAACAAGAATTTTTCTTTTTAGAGCATTTTGAAATCATTACAAAAGTGAGTCAGATATTGGCAATTTGATAAGGCTTTTATTTTGGAAGGCAAAATCAGAATGATATTATATAGATATGGTATCACTGCGGGGTTGGACAATTTTGATCGAAAGTGTAATTGCCCTGTGAAAACAGGAATCTTCCATTTTAGAGCATTTCGAAATCGTAAGAGTAAGTCAAATGTGGTCAATTTGAAAGTGCTATTACTTTGAAAGGCAAAATCAGCCTGACTCAAAATTTATATGGTATAACCTTTTGTCCGTTGTATACTGTTGATCTAAAGTGGAATTATCCTGTGGAAACAGAAATCTTTCTTTTTAGAGCATTTTCAAATCGTTAAAAGAGTAGGTCGTATATGGGCAATTTAAAAAGGCCTTTATTTTGGAAGGCAAAATCAGACTGACTTGATTTTGATATGGTATCACTGTGGGGTTGTATACTGTTGATCTAAAGTTGAATTATCTTGTGGAAACAGGAATTTTCCTTTTCAGAGCATTCTGAAATCACTGAAAGGTAGGTCTTAAATGGGCAATTTGAAACACAAAACCAGACTGACTTGATATTGACATGGTATCATTGTGGGGTTGCATACTCTTGATCTAGAGTGAAATTATGTTATGGAAACAAGAATTTATCTTTTTAGAGAAATCAGAATTCATTGAAAGATTATTTCCCGTATGGACAATTTGAAAGGGCTATTATTTTGAAAGGCAAAATCAGAATGACTTGAGATCAACGTGGTATCACTGTGGGATGGAATACTGTCAATATAGACAGTAATTATTCTGTGGAAACAGCAATTTTCCATTTTAGAGCTTTCTGAATTCATGGAAAATGCACACTGATATATGGTCAATTTGAAAGGGCCATTATTTTGAAAGGCAAAACAAGAGTGATTAATATTGACATGATATCATTATGGGGTTGTATACTGTCAATATAGACTGCAACTAGTCTGTGGAAACGTGAGTTTTCCATTCTGAATTAATTAAACCAGTAGTTCAAAAATAAACATTCAGAGGGCTTTTACTTTGAAATCCAAAAGGAGATGGCTTTAATTGAGCTTTTATTTTGAAATCAGGCTTTCACATCTTTTGCCATCAGAATACACAGGGAATGTAAAACAAAGTGGAGGCTAGCTTGACTGCAATGCTGGAATTGGAGGCTGGCTTGACACCAGTAAAACCGAGGTGTATGTAGTCTGTACGGGAGGACCTAAACCTCAATGCAAGACGTAGTAAAAAACAATATTTCTGAGGTACTCGAAAGCAACGGGTAATTTGTTCGTGATACTGATGTTTCTTATTGACTGAGTTCGAGGTGCATGCTAAGCATTTACGTCTGCTTATGTGAAAACTTTCTCTACGAGTCTTTATCTCTTTAGCCTTTATTTAATACATTCCCAAACTTATTCAAGTTAACAACAGTACAGGACAGCATCAAAACAGGTTTTCTGTCCTGTTGCGATGCCATGATGTTGCTGCTTCAGCAGCGTGGTTTGTCATCAGTAGACTAATTAGTTGTACCTGTCTATTTCCTGCAGCAGCTTATATTTGGTTTGAACATAGCTATAGACTGATATGGATCAATTTATAACTTATATTCATTGTAATATTTAAATCTTGAGAGAGGAGGATAGAGGGGGAGAGAAAGGGAGAAAGCAGGATGAAGACAGCAAAGAGAGAGAAGAAAAAGAAACAAGAGTGGACATGTAGTCAAATTCATCAAAAAATTATAAAACTGTAGCTTCTGTTTTACCTACATTCATTGATGGTAATTTCACATAACTTGTGCTATACTGTTATCAGTTATAAAACCCCAGCTCTTATAATAATTATTATAAGATTATATTTTTGTTATTTTCCAGCAACTGCAATTCAAGTTGACTGAGGAGGATGGAGACAGAGAAAGAGGACTGAGGGTTGTACAAGAACAGGAATAACAAGTGAGCAAATAGTGAAGCTGGCTGAAAAAAACCCCTGTATTTTTCACAAAATAATTTTCCATGTATTTCATGATTGCTTTGTGTTCTTTTCAGTAGCACACTTAAAAGATGTTAGTCAACATTCTAAACAGGAAATATTGATATGATTGGTAGCATTTTACAGTATTCATACTGTGGTGGTCGTAAGTGTGAGTAATTCCTCAGATAAGAATTAGGTGGATTTCAGCTTCTCAATTCCAATTAAAGTCAAAAACAGAAAAATCACAGTAGAGGAACAAAGTTCTATGCCAGCCGTTTTATTGAACAGTGAAGCTCAGCAAAACAGAAGGAAAAGCAAAGCTCCCTTAGGGTGTTTGCCGTAAGCGCATGGAGGTTAGGACCAACCCCAACGAGTCACGCCCATGTCCTTTTTTTGAAGAAACCAATTGTCCCACCTCCCTGCTGCTGAGAAACTTTCCAACGCGCCCAAAAACAGCAGGTGCAGGCGCAAGTACGGGCCAGAGTCCGGCCAGGACGCTGGTTGAGGGCCCTGCCCAAAGGGACACCCTTAGATTAACCCTTTGCTTTGCCTTCTGACAATAGGTCACAACATGGTTAACGTTCACACATTAGTACAGCAAATAGCATAGTTTTTTGTGATAATTTTATGATATACATCTGAATAATACTTGACCTAACTACATCAAATATATGGGTTAAATGCTTTACATAATAATAAAGACTCCAGTGTATGTTTATAGTGTGTGTGTGTGTATATGATCACATAATCCATACAGTAATTTTATTATGTCTTACCATGTTACTATTTTCTAAGAGACATATTTCTGAATGTGCTGCATGAAAAACATTTATTGTGTGTGTGTGAGGGCAAAACACCTCGTGATAAGACTCTATGTGAAAGTTACAGAATAAACAGTGGCTTGCAAAAGTATTCGGCCCCTTTGAACTTTTCCACATTTTGTCACATTACAGTCACAAACATGAATCAATTTTTTGGGAATTCCATGTGAAAGACCAATACAAATTGGTGTACACGTGAGAAGTGGAACGAAAATCATACATGATTCCAAACATTTTTTACAAATAAATAACTGAGAAGTGGGGTGTGCGTAATTATTTAGCCCCCTGAGTCAATACTTTGTAGACCCACCTTTTGCTGCAATTACAGCAGCCAGTCTTTTAGGGTATGTCCCTACCAGCTTTGCACATCTAGCGACTGAAATTCTTGCCCATTGTTCTTTGCAAAACAGCTCCAGCTCAGTCAGATTAGATGGACAACATTTGTGAATAGCAGTTTTCAGATCTTGCCACAGATTCTCGATTGGATTTAGTCACCAGACAGGTCAGAGATAAAGTTATTGAGGAATTTAAAGCAGGTTTAGGTTACAAAAAGATTTCCCAAGCCCTGAACATCCCGAAGAGCACTGTTCAAGCGATCATTCAGAAATGGAAGGAGTATGGCACAACTGTAAACCTACCAAGACAAGGCCG